AAGTCGAAGATTTTTAGAAACTTTAATATTGTTTTGTTGAGCAATTTGTTGTTTCAAAACATCCAGTTCATTTTTCATTCTCTGCATTTCTATTCCCTTTTCTATTTGTTTACATTCTATGATGTTTATTTGCTCGCAAAGTTCGTCTACCTTATTAGAGAGAGTTGTTATTTTAGCCTCAATGCTTGTTAAGGCTTCATCAACACTCTCTTTGACACAGGCTTTGATGTTGGTTATCATAATCTCGTTTGCTTTATAAATTTCGTTTCTATTAGTTTAAGTATTTTGGGTGATTTGTTTTGCGACGATTTTGGTGTGTCGTCAACACGAGGAATTTTTTTGGAAGTGGTGGGGGTAGAGAGTATTTTGCAGTTTTGTTTTACTTTATTGTTTTGCATTGTTGTTGTTTTTAATATCAGCACAAATCAGTTTATGTAAGGCGATAATTTAAATTAGTTTTTATTAGTTAAACTTAAAGTTTTAGAGCAGGATTTTTATAACTTGAGAGTCGCAGTGAAAAGTCACGTTAAATTGTTAATGTTTTTGTCACTTTATCGAATTTTTGTTACAAATTTATTAATTTTTTGCGGACACCACTGTCCCGTACCATCGTTCGTTGCTGTGATAATATTCGGCATTTATTCTGATGCCACGGTCGATTAATATGAGCGGAGAGCGACCATCGGCTGTTATGGCGGCCCACGCCATCACCATGGCCGGTGCATGAGTTCCGGTGGCCAACCGAAGTTGCACATTTTCAGCTGACCTTTTTGACAAGTAAACACGATCATTTTGTTTGTTTACAAACTGCTGGACAACGAATGTTTTCTCATCAGAGCGGAGAAAACCAAACTCGGCAGTTCACTACTTTCAGCCAAGCGAAGCAACTCTTTAGCTCTTTTGAGCCTATTTTCTTTCTGTTGCGGTGTAAATTCTTGCACTTTTTGGAATTTAAATGGCTTTACCCCGAGCTTATTTTTCAATATTTGCCGAAGGGAATATTTCGATATGTTCACCTCACGAGCCATTATTCGGCCACTGCGACGCGGGTTTCCATCAAATCGTTCCTTTACTTTTCGAACCATTTCTGCTGATGTTGCTGTTTTCTTCCGTCCACTTCCTTGACGTCGGCCAACGCTACCAGCGTTACGATAACGAGCGATGGTATGAGACACAAAAGATTTATTCAAATTTAAATGCTGTAGTGCTCTAACGATATCCACTTGTGGTTTTCCAGCCAAATATAAAGAAATCACACTATCACGCTTAAATTCCATTACGAATAACTTTTTTCTGGAAAATTCTTACCATAATGCTTTTGTAGGCTTATAAACAATATAATGAGCTGTCACTGGAATAATTTTGACAGCTGTCGGACGAGTGGCTTAGAAATGACAGCAGTCTGAATTTGGTTGCATTCACCTGTTTGTCTTCAAACGATTTCGGGTTAATTGTGCACCAAGTGGCCAATATCAGACCAAGTGACCTGCATTTTGGTACATCCGACCGAGTTCAGTCTAGAAGCAGGTACACCGAATTTGATGAAAATCGCGTCAGATATAGCTATAGCTCCTGTACATATGTTTCATCCGATTTGGTCTTTAAGTCCCTCACATTCGTAAAATGCACTCCGCAGCAATGACATTTGGTACCAGATATCTCAAAAAGCTCGGTAATATATTTGCAAATTTTTATCAAGATCGGCTCAAATTTGGACATGGCTCCTATACATATCCTTAACCCGATTTCCGGTTAATTGTGCAAATAATGTCTATTATCAGCCCAAATGGAGTGAATGTCGGGACCTACGTTTCCCTTTGGTGGAACTAGGCTCCGATATATATTTTCGTGATATAATCCTCGAAATGATATTATGCACTCTATAGCAATGTTACTTGATATAAAAGATAAAAATGTCTCCGTCAAATTTGGCGAAAATCGATTCAGAATTGCCTCTGAAACCAAACTATAATTAGTTTAAAGCCAAATAAATTCCCAATATAAATTCTTTTGCTATAGGAGGTCTACTAAATATGCATAGTGGTGTAGGGTATCATACAGTCGGCCCCGCTCGAAATTTGACTTTTTCCTTACTGCATGAATATTTGATAGTCATTGCAGGATATGTCAAGAAATCACAAAAGAAAAAGTAAAACACCAATACCTTAAAAGTTATAAAGAAACAAGATGGCATGTTTTTGTTGATGATATTGACCTTAACGGCACTTTCTCACGTCCATATGTATAATGCTCAGGAGTTCCGCAATCGAAAACAATAAATATTCAGGGAATGAAATAAATATTTATAATTATTTTTTTATTTATTTACTTTTTTTATTCACAAAATGATTAAAGACAATATTTGACAAAAACATGTGTTTTTGCAAACCGCCCATAACAGAGGCCTTATGTATATACAATACAATACATACAACAGAATACATCTGTTTGAAAAAGTTAAATGGAATCAATAAACCAATGTTCGATTATTAAAATATATCATGACTTTTGTTATGATTAATCAAATTTTTGATCCTCTACGGAGTAGGTTCCAATGGAAATATAAATATTGCGAAATGCCAGGTTTGGACTATATCGACTGATTACTTCACTCGAAATGAGGTATGTGATAATTTTTAGAAAATGTTACAACGTGCGTGAGGTTCCAGATATAGTCGATCGAAGTATTCAAATATTCATACTTCATTTAATACAAATAAAAATATTGGTATGGGCAAAATTACAAGCAAATCGAATATTAATATTATTCGAAATCATATATTCAATATTCATCTCAGTTTTAGAAGATCGGTGATTTGTTTCGCAATTTGGCGAAATTGTTTGTATTTGTGAAATTTGAGGAGAGTTGGATGCTTGTATCTCTTTCCTTAAGCTTCTTATTTTTAAAAACGTCAATCCCAAGTGAGTGAGGTACCAAAAAATGGTCTGAACTCTACCATCTTTATAACAGATCTTATGTTGATGGAAATTTTGAGTTAATAATAAAAATGAGCTTCATCAATATTCAAAATGTTGACCCTCTGTGACCGATGTATTCCATCTTACAAAAATACTGGAATGTGTGAAATTTTAAGACAATCGGACTCTTACATCATATTATATAAGATTTATAATTATTCAAAATGTTGACCCTTTGTGGGAGAGGAACTTGATGGAGTGGGCCAATATTATCCGTTTATGCAACTGACCTACCAATAACGCAAATAATAATACTTGCAAAGTTGAAGCAAAATCGGATTATATATCTTTTGAAAATTTTGACCTTTTGTGGGGGAGGTACCAGAAAGAGTGGACCTCCGACCTCGATCTAAATAATATTATGATGTACCAAGTTTGGACCAAATCAGATACTTCCTTCGAGAGTTATCGTGCGCACCAGCCAGACAACAAAGTCAAACGCCATACCTTTTACATACTTTTTTTTTAAATTGTATTAAAGGAATGCAAAAAATTTCGGAAATAGCATCAAATTTTAGAATAAGTTTAGATTTTTTCGGATTGGACACATTTGATACGAATTAGGTCTTCAAACGGCCAATGAAACCGTCACACGTTACCCGAATGTTGCTCTGCGGTATTTTGGCACATTCCCGACGAAGCGCTTGCTTGAGATGATCGACACTTTGGTATGTTTTAGTGCCAACCTTGCTTTCCAAAATACTCCTGACACAAAAGTTCAACGAATTGATATCCGAAGATTTTGGTGGCCATTGTGCGCTAGAAATGAAGCGAGTAACCTCATTTAGTAATCATTCTTGGGTGGCGAGTGCTGAGTGCGATGGTGCTGAGTCCTGTTGGAATGTCCAAGGTCTGCGGACAAAATGTTCGCATGCTCAAGGCTTTAATGCACCCTCCAGAATATTTTCGCGATAATATTCGCCATTTATTCTGATGCCACGGTCGATTAATACGAGCGGAGAGCGTCCATCGGTTGTTATGGAGGTCCACACCATCACCATGGCCGTCACTTGCGTTCTGGTGGCCAACCGAAGGTGCACATTTTCAGAGGAACTCTTTGGCAAGTGAACCCGATCAGCTTGTTTGTTTACAAAATGCTGGTCAGTTCACCACTTTCGGGCAAGCGAAGCAACTCTTTAGCTCTTTTGTCTATTTTCTTTTGTTGTCTGTTGCGGTGTATGTTCTTGCACTTTTTGGAATTTCAATGGCGTTACCCCGAGCTTATTTTTCAATATTTCCCGAATAGAATATTGCGATATGTTCAGCTCACGAGCCATTTTGCGACGTGGCTTTCGATCAAGTCGCTTCTTTAATTTTCGAACCATTTCCGCTGATGTTGCTGTTTTCTTCCGTCCATTTCCTTGACGTCGGGATACGCTACCATTATCACGGTAATGCGCGATGGTACGAGACACAAAAGATTTATTCACATTTTAATGCTGGAGTGGTAGATGAAGAAATCACACTATCACGCTTGAATTCCATCACAAATAACTTTTTTTCTGAAAAATTCTCACCAAAATGCTTTCGAACGCTTGTAAACAATATAATGAGCTGTCACTGAAATAATTTTAACAGCTGTCGGACGATTGACTTAGAAATGACAGCAGTCTGAAGTTGGTTGCAGTTTTTTTCATCTCACCCTGTACATATGTATATAAGTATCGGCATTCATGGCTGGCACTTAACGGCTATAAATCAAAATGAAGTGCTAACTTCGTATTCAGGAAGTCATTAAATATCCCTCGCAAATATGTATTTATCTGGAAAATGTCCAAATTATGGCTGCAATTTGCAATTTCCCACGTTTTTTATTCAAAATTGTATCTGTAATTTCAGTTTCTTAAGTAGAATAGCAAAAAATAAATAAATAAATAAATAAAAACAGACAGCATCCCCAGCAGATGGATCACACTTTGCCCACTTATCTTTTTAATGTTCGCTCTTTTCAAACAGATATATTTCAAAAATGTACACACATATATATGTATGTATGCAGATATATTTGTTGCTCTACTTACTGAACGGAGTTAAATGACCGGTGGCAAAATTTTTTGAAATTCGGTAGCGAAATATATAATTACGCTCAAGTAGGTATCGCTGGCCAAAACAAAAAATATACGAGAGTGTGTGACTTATCAGATAGCGAAAATAAATCACCGCAAACGCACTGCAGATCACACAGAGGAATATTTGGGTATTTTTTTTTTTTTTTTTGGTTTTTTGCCCAGATGGAAAGTGTAATGACCACAATTATAAATAAAATATGTTTTTTTCTTTCTTTCTTTTAATGAAAACAATTATTTCGCTTTCTTCCGCGTGGGTAGGACTTTGATATACCAATGCATACCACTTCACTGATTTCTTTTATATTTTTTCTTTTAATTCACAAAAAAAAAAAAAACAATTTATTGCAAAATTTCGTAATCAGCATCAGCTAAACATTTTGCATATCAACAAAAAAAATTAAAAAACCGTTGAACTCTTGAGCACTCACTGAACACGCGACCGGAATCAAAGTGACAGATGCTGGGCTGAGTGATTTTAAACAAATGCACCGGGAACGGACAGCAACAAAAACACAGATGATTTTGATAATTTTTGTTGTTATTATTATTTTTTTGTTTTGGGCTTTTTCGCTCTCGGAAAATGTAAACAATTAATTTTATTTAAATTTCCTTGTAATCAAACCAAAGAAATGATTTAAGAATAAATATTTCATTAAACAATTCTATATGATTGATTTCCTACTTTTTATTTTTGTATCAGCATAAAATTAATTTTAATTTTTTTTAAATTCAATTTTTATTTTTTTTTAAATTTTTCTTGTTTGCTGGAAAAACTCATAAAGATTTATTTTGTTTGGCGATTTATTTTTTTGGCTAAATCTTTTGACTATTTCACAAACACAAAAATGTTTTGTCTTTTATTTTTAGCGATTTTTTGTCGTTTTCGTTTTGGTATTGAAACCCGAAACCACTCAAACAACGTCCATTCACACGCAGCGTTTTGAAAGAACTGAAGAATTGAAAATGTTTTCAGGTTTTTAACCATAACAACAGAGCTGAAATTGAAAATTTATGCATTTGTTACATGTTGAATACGTAGCGATCATGTCGTCGAACATGTTTGATTCCAACATGGTGGCATCAGTCAGACAGAAATTCTTCCGGTTTTTTTTTTCAGGTGAGTGTTGTCACTTGAGAGTTTTTAATACTCTTCACCTAAGTATGAAGGGGGTGTATTAAGTTTGTTATTCCGTTTGTAAAACCTCGAAATATACATTTTAGACCCCATAAAGGGTCAGCATAAAATTCTATGTCGATTTAGCAATTTCCGTCCATCTGTGGAAATCACTCTAGCTTCCGAATTGAAAATTGATAAAATTGAAAATTGGGTGAGATGAAAAAACTGCAACCAACTTCAGACTGCTGTCGTTTTCAAGCCACTCGTCCGACAGCTGTTAAAATTATTCCAGTGACAGCTCATTATATTGCTTACAAGCGTACAAAAGCATTTTGGTGAGAATTCTCTAGAAAATAAGTTATTCACGATGGAATTCAAGCGTGATAGTGTGATTTCTTTATATTTGACTGAAAACCACAAGTGGCTATCGTTAGATCACTCCAGCATTTGAATGTGAATAAATCTTTTGTGTCTCGTACCATCGCTCGTAACCGTGAAACTGGTAGCGTAATTCGTGCCAAAGAAGAACAATTCGAACAAATCTAAACTTATTCTAAAAGTTGATGCTTTTCCGAAATTTTTGCTTTGATTCAATAAAATTTAAAAAAAAAAATAAATAAATATTATGGCGTTTGACTTTGCTGCAGGTTTTTTTTTATCTCACCCTGCATAATTGTCTGTGCAGGTCCACCTCTATTCAATGTCAAAACATATATTATTCTGCAATTTCGTCGGATGCGTTTATGGTTATGTTGGGCGCCAATTTCTTGAATCGAAGGTTTTGGGGACTTTTAAGTACAAGTATTATTCACCGGAATTGTTTCAAATTTGGTATTTGAAGTTCGTAATGGATACTACAGTGTAAGACAGAAAATTATCTGTGCAGGTCCACGTTTTGGTATAGCCTCCATATAATGGTACATCCCGATATTCGGTATTTTGATGATTTTAGCAACATTATTTACCGGAATCGTTTCAAATTTGGTAGTTGAAGTTCGTAATGGATACTACAGCCTATAACGGAAAATTGTCTGTGCAGTTCCACGCCTTCGAATAGCTCTCATATAATGGTACCTACCTATATTAGGTATTTTGATTTGATGATTTTAGCTACATTTTTTTGCCGGATTTTTTTCAAGCTTCGTGTTTGAATATTGTAATGGCATATGCCTGTGCAGGTCCAAGTCCCTAATATAATGGCTACATTCGGTATTTTTAATATTTTGACAGAATTTTTGACGGATTTTATTATTTTTTGTTTTTGAAAATTGTCAAATTCGTTCCAAATGGTGGAGGGTATTCAAAGTTAGGCCCGGCCGAACTAACAGCCTTTTTAAGTTGTTTTTTTTTTTTTTAACGCTTTAACCAGTAAGGAAAGGTAAAGGTACAATATAATACCCTACACCACTATGCTCATTTAGCAGAGCTCCCGTAACAAAAAAATTTTTATATTAGGAATTTATTTAAAGTAGATCATACCAACTGCGAACCTTTGGCGTAGTAACAATTTGGGAACTATATCCGGCTCCGAATTTATTTTCAACAAAGCAGACGGAAGGTTTTGTACCTCTAGTACCAAATAACATTGTTATATAGTGCATGCTATGACCAATAGACCAAGTTTCACCAATTGGAAAAATATAAGATATCTGGTACAAAATATCATTCTTGTGGAGTACCATTTATCGTATGTATTTTCAACAAACAATCTGCTTATCTCTATTTCAGATACCAAGCTCTATTCCTTCACCCACCAAATTTAGTACCATTTAGTACATTTCGAACAACTATAGTTCACATTTCCAAAACCACCTGCTAGCAGTATAGAAGTTTAGTACCACTTTTTCGAAACTTGGAAGCTCGAATTTCCAAAAACCCTTTGGCACATCTATCCTGCACTCCATTCTGTTACTCCAATTCATATTCTTGCTCATTCCATTTGTCCAATACAAAGAATTCAATTTTAAGTAGATTTTTGTACATTTTGTACACTTTTATTACGAATTTACAAAAACCCAGCCTTATCACACAATTTCAAGATTCTAGCTTTATACGGTATAGCCCCAATATACCGGTACCTCCCGATTGCCGTTATTTTGAAGGTTTCTGCCAAAATTTCCAACCAAATAATCTGAAACTTGACAATCGGGTTTTTCGGAGGTTTGTTCTCTCCTGACACATTTTCGGCTGACACGATCATTTTGTTTGTTTACAAACAGCTGGACAACGAATGTTTTCTCATCGGATAAAATCAAATTCGGCAGTTCACCACTTTCGGCCAAGCAAAGCAACTCTGTAGCTCTTTTGAGTCTAATTTCCAACCAAATAAGCTGAAACTTAACAATCGGGGTTTTCGGAGGTTTGTTCTCTCCTTGCAAAAAAAGTTCGATTCAGGTCCACTTTCTTCGATAAATATAGTGGAGGAGGTTTTAAAAAGCTCGGCCTGATCGTATTTAAAGCTCTTATTACTTATTAAAAGAGATACTTTGCAAATAGTCCGGTCGAACACAACTGGTTTTTTTATTTATTTATTTATTTATTTTTTTTTTGTTTTTGTTTTCAATCTCTGAATAGTTTTTATTTTTCAGAATCCAAATCGCAATAACGTAATTATAAACTGACGGATTGACAGCACTGTTTCTGGATGCTGTGGCAGCCCGCCAGCCAACCAACTGAGGAACCAATTGCTTGCTCTGCTCAGACAGTGATCGTTGATCAATAACAACTCGCTAACATCAAACATATTTGATGTTGTGTTTATGTTTTCGCATCAAACCATTTGGTTTGACCGCACATGTTTATGAGTACAATATATGTTCTTTGTTGAAAGTCAACAAAATTCGTGATTAAGCTACTGTTTTTGTTGCTATCAAATTAAATGTTCAATTTTGGAAGTTTTTGTTGCCGGAATTAATATACCATTTGGTAGTATGTGTTTTTATTGGATTGATTTTTTTTTTTTTTTTTTTGGAGGTGATATGATGTTACACCAAGTTCAAGTTAATAGTTTTTTTTATATTTTTATGTTTTTTTTTGTGTTTGGTGAGGTTGGGTTAAATGTTAAGAGAAAAATTCACTGAGAATTTAATAAAATTTTAAAAAATAGATGATACGGCCAAAATAAGCCTCATCGAAATAACAGTTTGAGACCCTAGAAGCATGTTTACATATAAATGGGCTATGCCAATCGATTTAGATTAAAATTGTCATACTTCAAATAAATCCTCCTGAAGTAGGTGAACCATGCAAAAACATGGCATAGGTCTTTTTTGACCAAATCCGTTTCAAGACATTTGGAGTCGATCGAAGGGTGTCTGTCCATTCGTCTGTTGGGCTGGTTGGCTGGTGTGCACGATAACTCTCAATGGACGTATCCGATTTGAACCAAACTTGGTACATTGTATTATTGACAATCTTAGATCGAGATCGGAGATGGGCAATATTGGGTCACTTCTTCTGGTACCTCCCCCACAAATGGTCAAAATTTTCATGGAAATTAATTTACCTCATACAAGAAGAAAGGATCATTGAATTTTGTTCTAATTGTACAAAGCCTAATATTTGCATCAGTGATAGGTCAGGTGCAAAAATGAACAATATCGGTCCATTCCATTAAGTACCTCCCGCACAAATGGTCAAAATTTTGAATAATTACAACTCTCATAAAAGTTGATGTAAGAGTCTGATTGACTTTAAATTTCACACATCCCAATATTCTGGTGTTAAGATGAAAGTTCTGGTGTTAAGATGGAATATGTTGGCCCACTCCTTCTGGTATCTCCCCCACGAATGGTCGAAATTTTCAAATTATATATTTTTTTGCACAGAAAGAGAAACGATAATCCGATTTTGCTCCAACTTTGCTAATCGTAATATTTGCATCAGTGATAGGTCGGGTGCAAAAATGGACAATATGCGTTCATTCCTTCAAGTAGATCCCCCACAAAGGGTCAAAATTTTGAATAATCTCAACGCCTATAAATTGTGAAACAAGAGTTCAATTGCCTTGAATATCCCAATATTTCTAGCAACTCTAGGCCTGGTATGAAGATGGAATAGGTCGGACCACTAATTCTGGTAACTTCCCCAAGGACCGATCAAAAATTTGAATAACCATGAAGGTCATAAAACTGCAAATGAGCATCCGACTCCCTTCAAACTCAGCACATCTTAATGTTTCTATAAATACAAGATCCGGCATAAAGATGCAATACATCGCTCCACTTCTTCTGGTACCTCCTCCAAAAAGAGTCAACATTTTAAATAATCATACCTCTCATAAAATGCGAAATCAACATTCGAATTTTCTCAAATTTCGCACATTTTATTACTGCAACTAAGACAAGATCTGGTGTGAATATGGAATATATTAATCTACTTCTTTTGGTACCTCCCAAGGAAAGAGTCTCACTTTTCAATACTGAAATCTCTTATAACTTGCGAAAAAATATCAGCGATTATACTACTTGGTATGTCTA